ACACACACACAGTAACACACAGTAACACACACACACACAGTAACACACACACAGACACACACACACACGATGCCTGACATATCATTGTGGGGTGTGATGTCTAAAATCTGACAAGAGGAACCTGATCTGTGTCTGTGAGATAACCGATTTAAATAAAGATCTCCCAGCGAAACCTCAGGATCAGATTACGTCATCACTGTGTGTGTGTGTGTGTGTGTGTCTTACTGTGTGTGTGCGCGTGTGTGTGTGTGTGTTTGTGTGTATGTGTGTGTGTGTGTGTGTGTCTTACTGTGTGTGTGTGTGTGTGTGACTGTGTGTGTGTTACTGTGTTACTGTGTGTGTGTTACTGTGTTACTGTGTGTGTGTGTGTGTCTGTGTGTGTGTTACTGTGTGTGTGACAGAGTGACCTTCCCTCCCCAGAATCCATCACATCGTCTTCAGCTGACATCAGTGTGTTTCTGACCCACTGACATAGATTTACCTTCAGCCACTAATAATACTAATAATAATAATACTAATAATAATAATACTACTACTAATAATAATACTACTAATAATAATACTAATAATAATAATAATACTACTAATAATACTACTACTAATAATAATACTACTAATAATAATAATAATAGTAATAATACTACTAATAATAATAATACTAATAATAATAATAATAATAATAATAATATATATTTTACTGCAGATGTATCAGGAAAGAAAAAGTGGCATCACAACATCTCTACTGTCTCTCTTCTGCCTGCTCATCTTCCTTTTGCTGGGCCTCACTGAGTCTGTGTGCGGACCCATCTGGGGGATTATACGCATTAGGTGACCTATGGAAGACAAGCCTTCCCTTCACACCTGAACACCCACTGGAAACCATCTCTGATGTCAGGGAGGAGAGGGGAGAGAGGGGGAGCGGCGTCTGGCCAAAACTTCACCTCAGGACACGTGACGGGGGCGCCAACCTGCCGGGGGCGACCTCGTGAAGCTTCTGTTGAAACGTTACCACTCTGCGAGGACAGGAGCGCTTAATATAGCTGTGAATAATTCATTGCGGCGGAGATCAAGAGCAAATACTGAGACCTGATAGGGGAACATAGTAAACTTTGACACCGTTTAACAGATTTATTTGACCTGCAGGAAACTCCGTAAACACTCTAGCCGAGACGAGGCCTCTCTGGCTGCCTGATTTCCCACCTTTATACTCCCTCCCTGCCACCATACCTTCCTCTGGCGGTGTTGCATAATCCAGATATGTTTATCATAAGCAAAGAGCACTCTCCCTATCTCGCCTGACTGTGCAGAGGCAAACAAAAGAAGTGTAGACGTCAGAGAGAGGTTGCATATCTCCTTCCTCTACAGTTTGAAAACACTGGTGTTGATCACATTTATTAACACCCACTGAGTCTTTATCAATAGAGGACCTGTTCTGGGTTGTTTCCCTTCCCCTTGAAATGCTTGTTAAGCTCTCTGGCCTTGTGCCCGAAAACATCATCACCACCCTGGACTGTTGCGCTCCCTCTGCCCCTAAGAACTGTGTACTCAACGGGACAATGAGTCAGCTGGGAACATGACGCAGATGCATCAGCGTGGACGCCCTCCAATCACCACCACGCCCGACTAAAACAGGGACACCAGGCCCAGCAGATGCTGAAGAAAAAAGGGGAATCAAACTGTGTCGAGTCGAGAGCCAAAAACTCTGGCAAAACAGCAGCTTCACACTTCAGACAACAGCAAGTGAAGAGGAGAAGTCCCTGCCCTCAAAACCCCTGAATCATCCAAACACTGTGCACTATTTGCTTCCCTAATATGGTGAGGAAGACTTCAAACTATGTAGCTCATGATGAATGAAATAAAACAGGGAGAGTGGGGGGGGGGGACACTTATGTGCAACACGTCTCTTGCTAAATACTCCCATAAAACACTCGCGAAGCAGAGGGTCAAAACATGTTAACCTTCCCACTAAAAGTCCATCCAAAGCTTCCTGTAGCTGTAGATGGAGCTGCAGCGACAGCAACCGACAGTGACTGAGCCTCTGATTGGCTCCGAGCTGAGCATCGAGGGAATTTCTTACAAGGACGTGATTCATCTCAAAGTGAAAGGAGAAAATATGAGAAAAGCGGCTGTGATATAAATCTTAACTTCCCTTTTAACAGGTGTATTATTAACAAGGATTGCTTCATCCATGGAGGGGTGGTTTTTATCAATTTAACTCATGCGGTAACCCCGCCCCCCAAAAAAACCCAGATTTTAAACAGATTTGCTGTTATTAAAGAGGAAGCTGAAACAATTATTCACTTAGTCGATTGATGGAGAGTAATTTCCTTGTTCCAGCTTCACAGTTTTGAGGATTTGCTTTTTTTTTTGTCTTATATGATCAATTGATTATGTGAATATCATTTAAAGATGTCCCCATTTGCTGAAACAATGAATCAATCAATTGGGGGAATAATACAGTATAATACAGTGATAGATAATAATAACTGTTAGCTGCAACCCTAGTAACACAATATAGAAAGATTGCATCCATATAGCCCTCAAACCAAATCTAATAAAACAATAACAAAACAAAGTCGAGCAGCAACAAGGATGTCATTAAAGAGGACGTACGTGCAAAAGTCAATGTGCCTTTTTATACCTGCTGGCTTTCACATTGACTGCAGCAGAGACACAGGAGTGATCATCTGAGCTCAAACAACATATTTCTGCTCCTATTTCTACCTTTCTTTTTTAAAGAGGGGGGAGGAGGGTGCGTTTTTTTTCCTCCATTTACGTCCCTGTGGTGGCATTAAATGTAGCCTGGAGGTATGAAGATGAGACATTAAACACATCACATAAGAAGAGTGATAGCATCCTCTTCTCATCCCCTCTTGATGAGCAGTTTCCCCTTTTTTTCTCTGAACCAAACCCGGATGCACTCATTTGAAAGAAGTTATAATTAAAAGTTTCATCATCGCAGCACTCCTCCAGACCCAAACCCCCCCCCACAGCTGTGTGGAGGGGGAAATTAAAGCCCCGCATACACCCGCATTATGAACATTATGAACAAGATCCAATCTGTGCCGCTTCACTTACTTTGTATTTCATCTTGTAGCTCTTCTCTGTGACTCCAGTAAACAAAAAACAAAAAGTAAAACAAGTATATATCCGCTTTGTCGCGTCAGAAAGCGCACATCTGAAGTATGTGGAGGACTGGAGAGGGAGGGGGGTTTACTGGCTGGTTAACCGGCCATCCAGAGCTTCACAGGCGGGAGGAAAACACGCACACACACACGCGGAGGAATCTCTCTGGGTCCGGTCCGCTTCTTTCTACTCCTCTACACCAGATTGCTGCTCACCACACTGACTGTGGAGCCGCTCAACAGCCCGCTGATTGGTGGAGGGGGGGGGACACTCTGGCCACGCCCCCTTCCCCCCCTGCTCCGTTATACTGACGTCATTATTACAATACAACGCAGCCACTCACTGGGGTATTATTATAACAATATATCTATATCTATATTTTATTTTAAATGTGACTCAGTAATGTTAAATATATATATTAATAGCACAGTGCAGCATTAAAACCGTTAATTCACTCTTTTGTCATACTTCCTTAGGGGATGAATATGCTCTACATTTTATAAATATTATATTAGCGCCATTAAAAGTATGCCGAATTAGCTATTAGCAGTCCCTCTTTGTAATGAACCCACACAAGTACAGACACCCATCACTGGATTTCTGTGATACTCATGAAAACTTAAAAACGAGATTATTCTAAGGCAAGTTCTGGAGTTAAAAGAACCAGAAGAGCCAGGAGGGAGCTGGGCTGCTCTTAATAAGACATGAGCTCCCCCCCAGCTGGGGCGGCTGCTCAGAGGTAGAGCGGGTCGTCCCCCAATCGGAAGGTTGTTGGTTCGATCCCCGGCTCCTCCTGGCACATGTCGCATGAGCAAGATACTGAA